GGCCGTAGCTATCCGTGTATATTCTTATGCGGTGTTTCGTCTTCATTCTTGTTTTAGATTGCTGGTTATATAGCTGTATATATAGCTATATATATAGCTGTTATTCAAAACGTTGTAAAACAAAAACTATTGTACACTGGTTAGAAATAGATAAAATCATGTAGTGTTGTCTTTTCTCTTGAAGTCTGTAGGTTATGTATGTTCATTTGATTATAATATGGTAATGAGAACGGTATTCAAAGAAACGCATGTTGTCAATGTTATATTTTTGCTAAAAGTAACAATGTTACAATTATTACAAATTGAACTTCATGTTTCAACAATACTGGTGCACTATAATTATATTTTATTGAAGTTCATATATAGTTCCATTTACACATACATTTATTTCTGCCTTTATTTTTCGAAATATAAAAAAAATTATGAAAAATATTCAAGTTCATTCGTTTACTGGATATTTTATTTCACTGGTTTTCTCCAACACCGGTAATTTAGATTGTTTATCAATTTCACAGCATTCTAAACAAAATAAAAACTCTTGAATTTGAAAACACTTAACCAATGGAATCATTTGCATGATTATTACTCTCCTTGATAGAATTTTTATTGCTGAAACTAATCAACAGTCTAGGAATAAAATCTGTGTTCTCATCAGAAGAATCCAGTTCTGAACCATTATTCAAAAACTCTTGATCTTTTGATGTTGAGAATTGCTGCGAATTTTACATCTATTTCTTCTAAACACCTGTATATGTCATTCACGTCACAAATACTACTTACAAGTATGAATATGCAAGTATGAATATTCAATTGCTTCCTGGAAATATTCCAAATACTTGCAAAAAATAGAATTGTCCTGCAACTTAATGATTTTAAAAGGCATATTCCAAGAGCCTACAATTGTCTGAAAGACTTTTATTGCCAGTCAAAGACAAGACATGTAGAAAGACGCACGACATATGTCCATAGGATTGAAAGTGTTACACAACGGTTGGACAACTGTCATGGCTAAAGGAACTAAATTATCCACCACTCACAACACATGACTTCAACCATAACTTATTTCAATGAAAGACAACTAAACAACGAATAATACATAATATTTATATCTGCACTTACATTTTTCCAAATGTTGTTGGTACAATAGGAGGATCATCCAACTGAAATGGTACGGACCATGGAATGTGTAAAGTTGGTGCAAGTTCTCTCAGGATCATATTACCCAAGATCTTCGCACAGTCATCATAATACTTGTTTGAATTTTTAACAAAACTGAAGCCATTCACATCACATACAAATGATTTTCCATTTGCCCTATTAACAAAAAAGGAATTGAACTTTACTAAAAAAATCTCCATGCATCATTCATTTAAAATATCTTTACCAATATGTTTTCATTTTTTGATGTAAACACAAACATGACCACAGTAGCTTTGAAGTAGTAATGTTAGTATTGTAACATATAATACATAGTCACTATCTACGGAAGCTGACTCACCATTTGGAATTAAGTTTGGATTTAAGTTCTTGTATTACAGTGACAAAAGATATTATATTACACGAGTAATCCTGTAACAAACTCCTCTTGCGAGCTGAGTCACTGTGCTAGTCCATTTTTACAAATTACACAATTGCTCACTCACAAATTTGAACACCAATCTATCGCTCACATATACATCAAAGCTTTGATAAACAACATTAGTAATGTGTAATTTAAATTTTTAGAGTGATAAAGAAATATCTAATATATGAAAACTAGTGAACCTACAATGAACTTCATTCTCGCATTATTGGTAAAGATTAAGTATAATGGTGCAACTTTTATCCAAACACTTCAGACATCAATTGAAAAAATTCAAAAAAATTCATTATAACTCACAAATTACATATTCAGGGATAGATTGCATTAAGACAGAAATATCCAGAAATTTCCAAACAGACCATACCAAAAGACTTTTATTCTTCTACAACTTATATTACCTCTGATCTTCTACAACCGACTACATTATCCTTTGGGTTATGAGTGGTATCAAAAATCTGTTGCACTTTGTAACTTTTGAAATTCCTTTGTATATTTCTGAAGTGTGTGGTGTTTTTTTTTTTTCCCCCCCTTCCTTTTCTTTTCTTTTCTGTAATGCTACAAGAAAAACTGTGTTGAGGGCCTGATACTGAAATAGTAAATTTTTATTCCTGCAATATGTTGTAAATTACGTTTTTGAGCACGTAGTGCAATGAGAATAGGTGTTTGGTACCAAAAAATTTTTTCTCCGTCTGTTCATCCACCCATATTTCACTCAACACTAAGCAAAAACTACCCTCATTAAAAAAAATTATAATATATTATTATTAAAATATCTAATTTTGAAGAAGAGATATCAATCGGAAAAATCTACCTTTATAATGTAGTTAAAGGAAGACATTCATAATTTTTTAAACTTTTACAATTTTTTAACATTTAGAGGTTTTAAAAACAATTTCATCTGGGATTTTAAAGTGTATTTTGCTATATTTGAGCAACAATAAAAAAAGACAAAACGAGGAGCAATGTTTGTAAAACTCGAAAATGTCCAAAAGGCTAACGGTAAAGTATCAAAATTTTTAAAAAAGGTTTTCAAAATATTAATTTGGTCAAAGTCAACAGTAGTAAATATTTGTCAAGGGGCTGCAACATCAGATTTCGGTGGGGCAATTTTGGTGAAAATCCTGAGTACTGTTTAGGTGCTAGAGTTATTCAGGGACAAACAAAAAAAAGCGAAGTTTTGAAAAGAACACTTTTTCGGGATTTCAGATTCCCCAAAACTTTAGTTTCAGTTGATACCTCAACATCATTTTTCTTGTTAGCGTTTACGTAACTTTTTCTATACTGCATAAAAAAGTTAAAAGCAGTTGTCATCAAAACAAGTCATCAATGAAGAAACATTCATTTATATCATCCGATTTTAAAGAATTTGGTTACATTTTGAGTCTCAAATCTTTTAAAGATACCCTTTTTAAAATTTCAAATATTTAAAGTATACCTGGTGACAGAAAAATAACTCAAAATGGCAAACAATTTTGGGAGGTTATAGAATGAGAGTAATGCAATAAGTTTACAACCTCCTGTGCTCAGCAACCTGGCTTCCTACTAATAAACCACTCCAATCACAAAGTCAAGAGACACACAACTTATGGAAAACGAGCTTACACTGACACGAGTGTACAAGGTACATCTGCGTGAAGGTTGGAGAGATGAGCTAAGTAACCAAGTGCTGGAACATGAAGCTACAACTACTTTAGAGTGGGGATATCCGTAAACATCGAAAGGTGTGGGGGACAAAAATGGAGAAATTTTTTCTCACATTTCTTTGAATGGCATGTTCCAAAGGAGCAAAACGAACTTTGTGGTTGGAACAAGTTGCACATGGGTTTATACAAATAAATACACATCTCTCTTGGATTTTTGGTACTTCTTAGATTAATAAATTATTATAAAAAATACTGTTTTATTAGGGTTGTATAAATAATTGCAATAAAATAAACAAGACAACAGTCGCTAATGTATTCATTAAAATTAATTTCAATTTTTGGTTACACTACTTTGCATTTTTCCTTTTTTAAATAAATGCGATTTATGATAAACATACCTCAAAAGATCAAAGCCACATACAGTCTGCTTAAACGCTAAACAGACTTTGCGTGAAATTAACTTCTCTGCATTAGACAGGATGACAGGGTATCTAATTTCTTTTCCTTCTGAATCACGTTCTACTTTCCCATCAAGAGCAGGAGATTTACGGGCTTCAGCATGAGCGTAATCTGGGCCAACAGTGTAAACCTGAAAAAACATAATTTCAAGAAAATTGAAATATTTCCAATACATATATGATACATTCCCATTACAAGATGATCACACACTGCCAACTCAGGCAAGAACATGTCTGAGTAAGTTTTAAGAAATTCCTTAAATTTACACCAAGTCTTGCTGATATAGGGTTTAACTTATAAAATAATAGAACGCTCCTATCCACAATCCATTTTTAAAATTGAGGGTCACTTCTATCTCAAAATTTCAAAAATATTTTCAATGCCAATTTTCACCTCTACTTACATTAAAAATCAGAGCTGTACTACGGAAATGTGAAAGTGTACGAGGGAGGCGACTGCCAGGCCTCGCGCGGCGAGCGACCGGCGCGGGTTTCTTCCGAGCGCGCACGTGAGAACGCGCAGTTGTGCGGTTTCCGGGGAGCAGGGGGGGGGGGCGAGGAGCGAGGGAAGACGAGATGCACCCTAGCTGGAGAAAAACGACAAAAATACCCTTTTTTCGGCATCAGGGACCCACGAAACGAGATGTTCCTGTCGAAAAATCGTCCAGCACATTTCCTGCACCATTTCAATACTTACTTTCTACTTATTGGCGCCCCGAGTGGGGGCAGGTGGAATAATTTGCCGCAGGCCACGAATTTTTTTTCCATCGCAATTTATAATTAAACATGAATTTACTTCCAATTAAAACTACCCACTAACGAAAGCTTGAGAGAAGATGAAGGTTTCAACGTCTAAATAAAAAGTAATGTATGTGTGTATGCGCTGGCAACCATGAGAAAAGTGTCAAAAATAATCTCAATTCTGTACACACATCGAGAAAACTTATTAATATAAAACAATGTTCAATTACACTAGGGAACAATCTTTTTTACCTCCAGGATGAAAGTAGGCGATTTCAAATGATACGATTTCAATGAACATATTTAGTATTTGAAATAAACCAAATTCTAGACTAATTTCCGCATCGTCTCTCCGGTTATAATTCTACATAATTTTATGAGCATGCTTCATATGACATAAAAACAAGTTACAAATGGAATACGCATATTCGTGAAACAAGATGCAGACTTCAAAATGGTTTGTTAATATTCTCCACAATATTGTTAGAGCGAATGAAAAGGATTTGAGATTTCCATACAATCACAACCTTAAGTTTGATGTACGGACACTTCCTCCTTTCTTACATGACACAAAGTCGCTATACATTAGCTTGTGGGTGGGTGACATGATGCATTGTAAGCAGTTTTCAGGTTTTTCAATCGAGGATTCGAATCTCTCACTAGTCTAGTCCACTACTCCCAAACTATTCGGCTACAGGACCCACCAAACTACCAATTGTAGATATTTGATTCCCGGAGTTCAGAGCGGACGTGTCTCGTTCATCTGTAATACCCATTATGAATTTTCTTTTTCACTGGGTAATTTGAGATGGTCTCACATTCTTTAATGCCCATCTGTCCAGGCGACAGCAATGGGGCAGGGAGGGCCAGGAAAAATGAGCCTTTCTGCAAAAGTTTAATGCTGTTATCATTCACATGCAGCAGGCCACCCAAAACTAGAGGAATGTCAGATTGGACATTAAAAGCCATCTTCGAGCCATCAGATTCGAGAGTAAATAGAATTCATCACAAGTAACACTTTTACAGAAGAAAGGAGCGCTGAGATTTGCCTGCTTCTATAAAACTGTGCCCGAACCTGCAGTACCAGTAGTGGCTGGAGTCACACCCATTCACCTTCTTGCTCAGGAGAGGAAACTCATCCCCCAGATGAAGACTGAACTGAGAAGCCGATGATCAGAATGCAACTGGACACCATAGTTGGAAAGCCTCTACCCTTTCACTGTTTAGTTCATACTCGAGAGTCAGAACATTCTGGAACTTTTTTACTCTTTTCTTTCAACCTTCCAGTGAAAATCATCTCACTGGGTGTTGTTCCAATGAAGTTGATACCATGAATAAGTTACAACCTGGCTCATAGCTAGAAGAAAAAATTTGGGAGGCTGGAAGTAAAATAGCAGTGACTGAGACACTACTTTTTAGTTTGCTGCCGTATCTGAAGTGGTACTTCATTATACAATTCAGTAATTTACTTCCTGTCACCACATTACACTTTTTGAAAATTTCATCACTTTAAAAACCTTGAGTTTTTATTAAGAACATTTAGAATAACTTACCAATCAATCATATTAAATTATTAAGATTTTTTCATAAATTACAAAAGTAATCAAACTTTTCACAAAAATTACCCAATGTTATGCAAGGTTGGCTGGCACCAGGATGTAAGTACGGTGACTGATCTACCCTGACCATCCCTCGGCTATGAGCCTGAATACAATATGTATGATTGATTGGTGATGATCTCAAAACTCAGCCAAGTAGTTCGCCTCTTATCACCGAATTTTGTGGTTTACACATTAACATATGCTCACAGTGTACTATCAGTAAATACATTACCTTGACATCTGTACCATCAGTTGGCATAAAATCTTCATAAATGAAAGAGCCAGTTTTCCTCACTCTAGACTCTGGGGAGTACACACTGCTTCGACTTCCAATCTACAAAGAAACGTAAGTAGTAGGTCAAACAATTTTGAGGAAAAACTGCAATATATAATAATACAATAGATATAGATATTTAATTTACAATACTATACCTTTCGAAACAGTCTTTGGCTACCACCTCCGGCAGAGGTTGGATAATAAATATAGATATTATGATCTTCGGCAGAAACAGGTTTCTCAACAAAAGGTTTATTGAAAACTACTCCATTCACTTCCACATGATCTTCGGACTCCACTAACTCATGATCTAAAAATCAAATTTCCTTCCTAAAATACATGCCCAACAACTAATTTATACATGTCCAAGAAGGAGAATCTACAAAATTACTTCTTTTAATGTTACCAGGTTAAATATTGAATCTCTCTTGAATAAATTACTATTTCAATTTAAGAAATTAGCCCGTGTAAAACATATTGTGCTCAAAATATGTTTCAAAGTTACACATAAAATACTAATATCCTATCTTAGCAATTAATTCTAGCATAGTTTTACTGTCAGTTTAAATTTTAAACAAAACAAGGAAATTATTTCATTGAAGTTGACACCAAAATAATCATCAATGTATGGGGAGAATATGATAAAGAAAAGCTGTACAAAAGATGTTTTTCGTGAAATCATACCTGCAGAAAAGACAATGCACACACAATGATTTATCAAAAATGTAGAAATTAAAATGAAAATCTACTTTTACTTTCAAGCTAAAAATTTGATGATTGAACCTTTACAGTTTTGATGTAATTACAAACAACTTACGTCTTGGGTCTGGAGAATCACGATCTAAAACTGCATATCTTGGTATTTCAATGCCTTCTCCTTCCAAAATAGAATACACTTTCCTTCGATCCTGAAATGAAAGTTCTCTTGATATTCATGAATTTATTCAGAGAATTCATAAAAAAATATGTTCACAAAACAGTAACCATTGTTATTCTTCAACAAATTTAAGAACATTTTTTCAGTCATGAAAAAGAATCTCCCAAAATATTTTTATTTTACTGTACATATACTTGTGCTTTTACTACAACAACAACAAAAAATTAATTATTGAAACTGAAATATTATGCAATAGTAACTTGAAAATTTGTACTGTTAGGGTTTTATTATCAGTGTCCAAGGTATTGTGTTTTCGGAGTAAAACTAGGGACTGAATGTGGCAGAGTATTTACAATGAGTTTCTGATTTTCCACCCTCTCTTCTTTATACATTAAACAAAATGAAATTCAGTCATTACCAGTCATACATTTTACAGATGTTAGTCTCTCATCAGCAAAATGTTACAATGCCAAAATTGAAGCATTCGGCTAGTGAACAACAAACCATAAAAAAAATTGGCACATCATATTAATACTCAAGCAAGGCTGGGTTACTTCAGCTAATAAATTCATACAGTACAGTTTTGGTGTATAGATAAGCTAAGAAAATGTTACCTGAATATCATACTGCATATGAAGATTGTTGATTATAAATGGTGAACGAAGAGTTGCATACTGAATTGCCTTATCCAAAGGAAAGCCTTTGGAATGAAATGAGATCAGACAATCGCAGATCGGCCACTCTTCTACAGGTTTCTGTTCAAAGTTAATTAATACCTTTCATATAATCACATACCAGAATATAGCAGAAATTAACATGAATATTAATCAACTATGAAAAAAAGAAAAAACAAACAATTTTTTAAAGGATGTAAAGAATGAGAATTATTAAACAAATACATTAGAGAAACAAATATTGAACAAGGACAACAAATTATTTAGGGTTTAGGTTCAACTTCTATTTAACAAATCCATAATGCAATGATATTAAAATTTTCAAGATTCTAATTTGTAAGTTGCATAAAACTATACACTTAGAACGTTAGGGTAACTACTGTCATTTATTTCTAAGAACCTGGAGTTGATCTTAACTTTGACCTCATTTGCACATGAAAAAGAATTCGTGCAGATTACATTTAATGATCTAGACTCTAATTTCATTTTTTTAAAGTATTCATGTTATTATCAACAGGCTCTATTTATATAAAAATAAATTCTTTATGCAATACAATAAGATTATTCAATAGAGCCCCAAAATGACACTTACTTTCAGAATAACCTCTTCTGGGAAAACCACCATCTTGAGGTACTCAAACTCCTCCAGCCGTGTGAGGATCTCCTTCATGGGCTTTGACTGCGACTTCTTGGCCATGGCGCACACCCCCACCACCACCTGCTTGCCCTCATCCACCCCCGCGCCCACGCCTGCGCCAGCCTCATCGCAGCACAGCTCCGACAGGTCGCCCTGAACACACACGAGCTGTACTCATTGCTACAATATGGATCACATTCAAAGGGGACATATGGTTTTCTAACAAAGAACTTTCAGAAAATTAATAGTCATAAATGAAATAATGCTTGATGGAATCCTTTTTATGATTTTTGAAAGTCATTTGTTTAATTTGTTGATAAGTTTACATATTAAAAGTTTGACAGTGACAAAATATGCAGAGAAATCCAAAAATACACATTTCAATTAACAAGTGATTTGATGCCATAATCAATTCATATTATTATTAATCATTACAATGTATGCAAAAACCATTGTGATAAGATGTGTCTTTTCAATCCTCAAAAAGATTAAAAAACTAACTTCATTAACATTTCTATGGAATACTTTCAGCTCTGTAAATTTTGGTTGTTTATCCTTAACAAATAATGCAGCATAATATTTCTAATCTAATATTAAACGTGCTGAAGGAGCTCTTTTGCAGTTAATTGTGAATTGTAATCCTGACCAATACCATATGTCCACCATTTTTGTAATCCTTTTCAAACATCACATATTCTCCATTTATTTCACCCTCTATCAACTTAATTATGTACAAAGCAAATAAAACACAAACAGATAAAAGCACAAAGAGTTAACTGCACAAACAAACCCATTTCAACAAATGAACTAGTCTATGTTTAACATGTATTCTTCTAAGGTAAATTCTTCTTACTGATGTTCTATCATGTTATAGATATTAATGGAAGGGAAGACACAAAAAGTGTAAACTTATTAAAAGTGTAAACTTTTAATTATCTATTGAATAAAAAACTCCATAATAAACAGATACATATGTACATACAAGACTTTAGTAATAAAAAGTTGTTCATAAAACATTCACTTCAGTTGTTATAAAACAACAACAAAAAATCACCATCATTCAGATATGTTATTTTGCATAGTAAAATAATTAAAATTACTGAAACAAGCAAGGATGTTCGTTGTCTAATGACAGAGGCACTACATTTTTTTTATACCAAATTTCATACTAAACACTAACTTCTAATGCAAAGTTTATACATGTACTCCTACATGGAAAGCAAGGCCCTTGAAGCACATTTCAAATTGAAGAAACTACTATCACTACTACAAGTACTACTAGGGGGTTTAAGATCATTTTTATTAAAAAGCTTCAATCCACCACCAAGGAGAAAATCTGCAGATGCAAAGCATGCTATTAACACTGCTGTTATCCCATCTACAATAACAGCAAATTCAGCTGTTGTTAGTTGCTGCTGACGCTTTAGTAACTGCCATTAGCACTGCTACTACTACAACTAGTACAACTTGCAACTACTTCTACCATCAAGGCTTACTACTGTATCAATGCCATTGCCACTCATCTTCCTCCTCCTCCTCTCCTTCCCTCCCCACTCACACTAATCCTCCCCCATCCCCACTTCTCGTCCTCTTTTTACTCTACATTTTTTAATCCTATTCCTACAACCAATACCACTACAACTACCACTACCACCACTACCACTACTACTATAGCTGCTAACATCATTGTTGCTGTACTAACTACAGCGGAAATATATATGTATTATACATATAATGCTGTACTGTTGCTGATACTTCTACAACCACCACAGCTACCCATCCTTTTTTTTTTTTATATTTATTCATAAAACAATAAAAACTGTATGTGATGTATGGGAGAGAAGATCTTTTCGAACATAGGCTACAATACCATAGTCTTTAACTCATCAAAAATCATCAATTATTCTGTAATAAATAATAATAAGTTGGTAATCTACCCCCAATCAAATGGTGAAGTAAGTACACAATATTTTTTATATAGGGGTCATTCCACAACAAATAACAGTCCAACCATGACAGTTTCAGATATTTTATCAAGTCGACAGCTTGTAGTGCCTGTTATATGAATAAAACTCATCTATGAGGGCAGCAAGCATAAACAGCTCTCAAGATATGTGTGCGTTTGTGTCGAAGATGCCTCGGATAAGAGTGATATTTTACGCAGAGTGTCAGCTATCCTTTCCATAATTCTTTTCATCTATGGGGGTACCAAAGTGTTTACTGGCTGGCTGCCATCGGTGTTCTTGGCTAAATCTTTTTTTTAGAATCTGAATATCATTAAATTACATCCGTGCCTGCTTCATGGAAATAATGCTTTGGAATGTAGTGATATCAGTGAGAAAATTGATTTGAATAAATTAAATTAACAGGTACTTAAAGCTTACCAAGTTGTAAAAAGTCTGAAAAGATAAGGTTTGGGGCCCTTGTTAATTTGACGTGGAAAGACCAACAAAAGTAAAGGAAAAGTAATTTCTTCTAATCATTCATCATGCATGAATCAAATCATTCCATCAGTAAAAATGTTCCTTTAAACAAGCTCTAAAATACTTACACAACAGAAAATTAAGGAAAATATATAACATCGAGGAAACATATTTTGAGCAATTTTACATACTTTTATCGACTAAGTTTAAAGGCAGTACACATGCAACAAAGGTTCAACTGCAAAAGTTACTTCCTTTAAAGGTACTTCCAAGTTCATTGCTTTTGTCACGCTTCTATTATTCTTATTTGTTAGAGGTGCAGAACATCTCAATATATATGTAAAATGATTTGTGAAAATTTTGACATAAATTATCTAATTCACTTCAGGACAATCAACAACTCTGGAGAAAAAACATTTCATCTACCTAATTGTGGCATAACCACATCATTCTGATGTTAAAAAAAACTCTTCCATGAAATATTTATTATATCCCATACTCAGAAATTAAAAGTTAAATGACAAGTATAATCTAAACATTATATTGCGTGAAATACATGCATTGTCTTAGGCAAAACCATTGTCATAGGAAACATGTTGTAACAGTTTACTAAATGATTCAGATGATAACTGAAAAGAATTAATGCAAATGTTAAATTTGAGTGAAAAAAGATTTGCCAAAATATTATGTAAGCACAAGAACAAGTATAACTCTACAAATAAAAATAAATTAAAAAATAGAATTTTTAAATGATTAAAGTCACTATTTTGATTCATTAATCATTTAATTAAAAAATAATTAAATAATTTAATTAATTATTTATCACTAATTTGAGCAAATTAATACAAAGAAAATGTATAATTTGCATGTCATAAGAGTCAATTCCATTAGAAATTAAAGGATACACAATTCCAAAATTATAACTTTAGAAACAAATTATCTTTCACTTATAATGTGCTTGATTTGCAGGAGATGAGTGCTTCAATTTCCTCATTACTTTCCATTAATTCGAATTATTGTTGATAATTTAAATCTACAATTTATCATCTTTCCAAGAAGTCATTAGAAAGGTTTTTTTTTTTCTAGAAGTGTTACAAACAAACAAGTTAATATTTTTCTCAACTGTATCAAGCATAATGTAAATTAATATATTAAAAGAACCAAAAACAATACTGTATCAAAATATTACACATATTCCAAACAGTAAACTCTCTTTAAAACAAATCTTTATAATCAAAAACTTCCTATAATGTAGACATTACTTTAATTTGGTAAGTTGGTTTACATTAAAATTAAAACATTGCCACATTCACTACACAACAAAACTCTATAGAATGTACCCTATCCTTTAGGTTTCATTATAAAGAGTTTACACAACACCATCATTTCTGTGGCCTCAATTTTTATATCCATCTTGAATTATTCATTGTGTTCTGTAACCTTTGAATGTGAAAAAAAGGAAGCTGATTAAGGAAGGCTTAATCTTAAGGAATAATAGGAAAATTAACAGAAAATATTTTTTTGACATATTAACTTTGGCAACCTTTTTATTCTAATGGAACCGATCTAAAATTTAAGAAGTTAATCAATACTGAACACAGGAGCAGTATAAAGATAGATTTTTTCCACATTGAGCAAGTTAATATGGATGTACCAACACAAACTTTTTGAAAATTATGACCAATGTAATAAAATACTTGAAAAATGCAGAAAAACACTAAGGTGTCTAATACTTTGGCAAAGCAAAAAACCTGTTGTATTTTGTTCTCAAAAAAGGACACGTTTATCAAAAGACATTGGTCTAGCCTTAAGTCCAATTCATACTACTTGCACTTTGTGTTGCTCATGTGGTTTGCAAAATAGTAGGAAACAAAAGAACTAAAATATTATTCCCCCCCCCCCCAAACATATTCTGCCAAAATTAAAAAACCAACACCAACATTTACACTTGGGCAAAGGTATTAAACAAGCAAAAACACTCTAGCAAGTTAGAGAAAGAACACCATAAGAAGGAAGAAAATAAAATGAACAATTTTATGATTTATCTTGTAAAACATTAAGAAGAAATGGAAAATGGGGGAGTTGAGTGAAGGAAATAATGATAATCTTAAAGAAACAATGGGAAAAAAGGAGAGCGGATGAAGACCTAGGAAAAGAAGTGCAAAACCCAAGCCATAGTAGAGCAATGCATGGTCTCACAGAGTCATAACAACAGAAAAAAAAAGTAATGAAAATAAAAATTAAGTTATTAAGCAGAACATGGAATTAATTAGAAAAGATGTCTTGTTTCAGACAATTATTCAGTGCAGACAATTACTTAGTGCAACTCACCCCTCAAAACATTTGATTTCCCCAGACACAATTTTCTGGAATAACAAATAAGAAAAAGGTAGGCATTTTAAATTCAGCATAAATATAAAATTCTTTATCAGAAAACATGAAGTCAGCAGGAAACTACACCTATAGCTTTCCAGATGAAAATCATTATTGTGCCCCTGAAGGTAAATTGTTTTCAAACACATAACATACATACTCCTTTAAAGGGCTAAGCAAGTCTGTACTTTCTCAACCCTACACATACACATTAGGGTTTACGAGACTCCAGCAAAAATTTTTTGGTTGTTTTCTTGACAAGTTTGCTACTTGCTCACTTTCTGATTAAACTGATGAAATTCACAATTATTTTGAGCATTTGCTGAAGTTTTATAGTGCTAACTCATTAAATGACTT